GATATGTGACTTTAGCTGTATGAATATATAATTAAACTGCAAACATTTTGCATCCCTTCTGTGACCTAATTTATAGATATTTAAAATTGTGTTACACAGTTCTGCTTTGCTGTTTAATAAAAAGCTATTTCAGAAGAAAAAAATAAATTTCTCAGGTTTATATATTATATCTCCTAGGTGACTCTTTCCCAACTTATTTCTCTTAGCTGGGCAATCCCCCTCAGGACTTTTCTAAATAGATGTTCCTGTTGATACTTTGAAACATGTATTCTCATGGGCTAAGAAATGATAAATATGTCCTATGCCATTTGTTCCTTGAAACTTTGTTTTTCCTTCACTTTAGAATTTTTTAGATTTTGTGTAACTTGTGAAACAGAATGGAAGAAAGCATCCTTTTTACTACTTCTTTCCCTAAAGCATTAGGATATGCCTCAGGAGTAGAATGCCACTCTCTTATTTCACTATTCCTTTGAAGCAGTCTCAGCTGAGTTGTATTTCAAAGAGAATATTTTTTTTATATTTTGATGGTGTGTTATTCAGAGGATGAAAATTTATAGTTGTTATGACTATTATAGCTTTATTGTGGATTATATATTTTGTCCAAAAGTTGAAAAAATATTCATTGTCCTGATTCATCTTTACCTTGAATTCAATATTTTCATAATAGTCCAAATCTTCTTTTTATGATTATATCTGATATATCTGTGTCTGATATTGAATTTTTATGCTGATGTACCAGTGTTTTTAGAAATATATGTTATAAACAACATATAGATGAATTTGTCTCTAAATTCAACTTCAGAACCTTTTTTCTGTGAATAGGGAAATTAATATAAAATTTATTTGTGGAACTAATAAGCTTGTTCCATTCTTATTTTATCATCTGATTTTATGCTTTCTATGGCATTTGTTTTCTTTTTTTAATAGAAAATGTTTGCTATATATTCTTTATTATCTGGAAGGAATATAGATTCATTTATATTTGTGGTGAACAGCAATCATTTTTAGACATACCTGAGCCTATCAATACTTAATCATTAATGTCATAAATAAAATACTGTTTATTGATTTTACTATATACTAATTATTTTCGTATGCATTTTTCTTCTATGTCGCGACCCCTCGCCTGCAAGGGAAACACGACACAGGATTCTTCTTTCAGCAGTTTACTCAGGACCTTTGAATCATGATGAGAAAACAGGAAAGAGAGCGAGCGGTCGGTCTGCCCTAGCTTAAGTACCCAGCCCCGCCAATGAATTAGCACCATGAGGGAAAGTCTAATAGGTACAGCGCAGCGGAAGCAGGCCAGAGCCCAGCCCACAGCCTTACAAGGAGTTGTTTACTTCTAACAACTCTAACCGCTAACGAAGCGGAAGCAGAGACCAGCGCCATATTCAGGGTGC